ACTGTTAACTTTTTACACATTGTGACTTGGATGGAGAGTTGTCTCATTGGCACTCATACCACATCTTCTTATTTCTGTATACACAAACTGAAACTTTAATTCGAGTGAATAGCTATCAACAAAGATGCAATGGAATGATTTAATATGTGTTAAAGATAACATCGCATCATTTATATCATCTTCACTAGTAGTTTGAGATACTCAAAAGATAACAGAAATACACTGTACCCATTTCTGCAATTTATAAACTTGTTCTGAATAATTTCAACATTCATGAAAGTGTCATTTAGATATTTTACAATCGTAAATGCATTGATGTACAATGATAACATCTGCATTAGATCCTTCCGTGGAAAGACCTTTTGATTATGTTCTGATTTTTTATTCTGTCGGTTCTGGGTTTTTGTATAATTTTGCTCGGTTTTTATCAACGATCCTTGAAATTTTGCATAAAATTTTCTTTTCTCTTCGGTATCGTGATTTGTCTTTTTCCTCCATTTCTAGACTTATGAACTTCGTCATTTTGCAGCAAGAAATATTTCTGTTTTACAAGTAAAACAAGTGAAACTGTGAGCTACTGCTCCCTGATGATACCCCCGCCCAAAAACTTGACGGTAAACAGGAAGTTGTTGAGTGATGAATCTGAAAACGTATCACACGGTATAGCTGACTTATATAAACCCTGAAACCAAATTTCAGAAATCCTTGTAGTGTAGTTCCTGAGAAAGATGCGACGAAAAATATTCATGGGACTGACGGACGGACTGACGGACGGATGGATGGACGGACGGACAGATAGAGGTAAAACAGTATACCCCCACTTTTTTAAAGCGGGGGTATAACTATATTTTGACAAAATAGAAAATGTTTCCTTCCATGGCATGCATAAGTATGATCATAGTTAAAGTGAGAACGTGGTCTTAATGAAAAAAGGCGGAAGATCCCATAGGGCTAGATACATTCATAACTCGAAGAGAAACCGTCAAAACAATGGCAAAAAAAGAAAATCGAAAAAACATGAACCTCAGCGAAAACTGGAGGTGATCTTATGTGATTTGTGGGAAGGTTAAACATATCCTGCTCCGCAAAAGGGAATGGTTATATTTTAGATTTTTTTTACCAGGGACGGACATATTCTTAATTATCGTGCATTCTCAGTACTAGTTGGTTTATCAGTGTCTTTGAGTACGGATATACAGTTGTGACAAGGAATGATTATAAAAGGGAAAAAGTAATATTCAAAGTCAACGACAATATATTAATACATATCACCAGGTTAAGCTTTGCCTTTAAAAAATTATTTTTCAAGTTGGCATGCATTTAACAGGGACATCTTGATATTGTTTTAAAACACACGGTAACTTGCTTAAACATAGCTTAAATTTTTGGGAAATTGTTGTACCAACTTGGAAAATTTCTGAAATTTTACCTATCGTGCGTTATCTTGCGACAGGTCTATTCTATAAAACCAATGTTTTTCCTATGTCTATAATGAGATGAATATCAAGAGTTGCCTCCCGTACACCCTGGATTTGACTATTTCATTGATAGATCGATTGATTGATTTGTGTTAAAACGCCACTTTCAGCATTTTTGAGTTATTTTGTGGCGGTCAGTTTTTATTGTTGGAGGAAGCCAGATTGCTCGGAGAGAACCACCGAACTTCGGTACGAAACCTGACAATCCTAGTCAATTAAGATTGGAGTCGAACGCAATATTTCAGGACTCTATTTGGGATTAAATTTCAGTAGTCTCCCATTAAGGACAGTTTTTGTGGTGGTCCGAATATTTTGAAAGCTGTAATTTGATCAGATAACAGAGAAATAACCTAGAATCAACTGTGTATGCCAATACATTGATTTACATAAAAATGAAATGGTGTTGAGGCTATATCAGTGTTCATCTGTGACACAATTGTTCCATAAAGGTCATCCAAAAATGATTGTATACCAAAACTGTCGAAAGGTTGACTTCAACTTTACACTTTACACTTGGTTATATAGCAAAGTACAACCGTTATGAACGAAATCTATATAAAACTAGTGCAGTTAAGGATGTATTATTCTGAGGTTTCAATCTCGTTGAAATCTCGTCTGGGAATTATTTCCAAAACATGTAATACAAGTAGAAAATATCAATGAATATAAAAAATATTATAATCAAACTAAACTCTGTGAAAAAATTGTGTACTTACAATAAGTAGTTTTTGAGTAATAAAATGTTCAAATTTTATAACCAATCTGGTAAGTGTCATCAGCCAAAAGGTAGAGAAAATTGGTGAGGGTACAAAGAAATGATTTTACCAAAAATATGAACATCCCATATCATTTTTTTCTTTTCAAAATTCTTAGATATGTATTTTTTCAATTATTTATAACAAAGAAGTTGAAATAACATGCTTTTTGTTCTAAAAAAAAAGAGAAAAATCCCAAAATTTACAAAATTGACAGCATGGTCAATTTGACACGAAAAAGCAACAAATTTTAATAAAACTTTCTAATATTAACACCAACCTATACTTTTTTTTAGTTAAATTTATTCAGATTGGTCCACTTCATCTTAAGTGAAAGTATGAAAAAAAGTTTAATTGTAAAATTGTGATTTTTTTCATGATAATAGCTCCAAAATGGGTAAAAAAGATGATAAATGAGAAAATCATAAAAAATTGGGTACTTTCAAATGGCTGTAGCAAAAAAAGAAGTACACCACCATATGATTCTTTCTTCATCAATTACTTTTTTACAGTCATATATATATGAACCCAAAAATCAGGTTAAGAAAAAAAGTTTAATTCTAGACATTTTTGACTCCTTAGAGGTGTACATCCTTAATAACTTCAAATCTGTGTATTATTATATCATAAATTAAAAAAAACATTTGTTTTGGAAGATTTGCTCTATCTGTTGAAATCTTTTGACAAATGGGATATCGAGTTCTTATTTATACGGCGATGTTTTCCCCAGCGGTTTACCATAGAAGAGACTAATATACTGATATTGGCGTATTTGCATTTGAGAACCTCATACGTAATAATTATGTCTTTTTTCACTCATTTAATCATATAAAACCTTCTACGGGGCAAATATTTGTATGGAGTTTCGCCGACAGGTAGAGACTTAAGGTACTTTTTTAACACATGCGTAGTATGATTGGCTATATATGGGGTGAACACATCTGTGGTTTTCAGATTTATACCTCCAGATAACGTTTAAGGTCATATGATACCTGAAATTTAACAAAAAGATTGAATAGATTTATATACCTGAATGGCTGAGTTTAACTATACAAGGAAAACGTGTACATAGACTATCTTATAAAAAACATGAAAAAAATCCTTTATTTCTTCAAAATCTTCAGAAATGTATTGCTAGTGAATTATTGTCTCCCCTTACTCTAATTTGCCGACAGCTTTTCCGTATGCAGTGACCTTAACCAGGAGATCGTTCGTTAGACATTCGGCAATCGCACAGTGCAACATGTGCAAGTGCAAGTAAAATCTGTGATGAAAGAAAATGTAAACAAACGTGGAAAGAAGAAATTATAAACCGATTCTAAAATTTAAATACTAGTACACCAAATCATTTAACAACTAATAATACAAAGATAAATTAACAAATCGGAACGCATGGAAACATAAAAAAACAACTATATTTCGCTCTATTATCACATATTTTTCAAGTGTTCCATGATTCTATGTTGATTGTTTATCAATAACGATCGGTAAACTTCTGCACCAAAACACGAAAATTTGTTTGCAGGTAAAGTTTTCGATCAACAATCATTTAATGATTTATAATTTTTGTCGATTATACTGTTTGGATTCGTTATAAATTTTTTAATAACTCGAGCAGAGGACTTAGTGAAAAACATATGCATGCATTGGTATAATAATTTCCTCAACATTATAATAACCAGAAACTCGTTTCATATTTCAATACAGCAACATTTTAATAATTAATTTACCAGACTTTCTCTTGAAAATATCAATAAAAAAGAAAACATTCCTTTTCTTTCTGAAGTCCGAATGAAGTTTAAGTTATATAAACATATGTGTACATTTTGCATAAATACCATAAAGAGGTACCAAAAGTACCGATTTATAAAAGTAGATCATGATTTTCAATAAAAAAAAGAAATGTTGGCAATCTTTATTTTACTCTGATAGACATGTTCGAAGCAGCTGTATAGTTTATTCCTTCATATTCAATGAAATACAATTTTGAAGTACAAAGAATACATTAGTACCGACGTTTTACTGAACCTTTAAAACTATCACATGTTATCCAACTTGTGATACCGATGCCATTATTGGGAAATGGGGAAGACAATACTATGAAACCCTTTTTTTTTCGCAAAAGCATCTATGTGATTTGGAAGAGAAGATCCAGCTTTAAAGGTTATGTCTCAGTCTGATAAAGAAAACACTGGACTGCTTAGACCATTTACAATGCTTTTTTTTAGATATTTTATTCCGTTTGCCGGTTTATACCCTTAACAATGTAGCTATGAAATAATCTGTTTGCGTTAAACATGTTAAAACGGTTTACTAAATCGTAAAATGGAATAATTCACATCATACAGATTGTATAACAAAATACGCATATTTGTCCCTTTTACGGACCTATAAAGAGCTTTCATAAAAGTGGGAGGTGTAGCTAGCTATAACACCAGGTTTTGCCCACCATTTTCCTTCAGACAATGTCTGTACCGAGTCAGGAATATGACAGTTGTTTGCCATTCATTCCGTTTAATGTACTCTGCAGTTTGATTTTATCAGGTTTGAATGGACTTATTTACCTTGGAGTTCGATATTTTTGTTAATAAATTTTTACAATATCATAATTATCAAGTACATGTATTATCATAAAGTCAAATAGCCAAACATTTCATTAGAGTGTTCTTCAACAAAATGAGGGAATTATTCAGAAATATTAAACTTCACAGATATTGTATAATGCTGTTGTTTCAATCTAAATTTATATATCGAAGTGCATACGTACAGTCTTATCATTATTCATTCTCAGTAAGCTAATGCAGAAAAGAAATGCTAGGCAGAGTATAAAGTTTCTTATCCTCCGACATTTTCTCCTGATCATACTGGCAGTCAAAACTCAACTAACCGTAAAATTACAAAATTGTCGAAAAAATCAATAAGTGTAGATTATATGTTAAGATATCGGTAAACTAGAATCATGGTTGAACGATTGTCTGGAAGTCCACATACAATGTACTACAATAGAAATGTTTTTGTGCAATTTGCCAAAACTCACAATTTGCGTAGTCTAATCAGAGACATCAATCAAATCAATGACCTGCTTTCAAGAAGTAATTCATAATAGGTCAAAACTATATTACTTTTGTTTAAAATAATACACAATTTACAGGAAAAAGCTGCAGCACTATGCAGGTATTTTTATTATATCAAGGAAAAGGCATGTTGTAGGATCGGAAGGAATAATAAAAAAAAGCATGATACTTTGATGTTTATTTTTTTCTAAATCCTGTGCATAATTACATAACATTTTCATGGTGTGTAATTGATACATTCACATCAATAACAGAAACCAAATTAAAAGAATAAAATTTCCAAATTCTTAAATATGCCCAAGGATGGGATGGCAGACATGGAAGAATGTCATAAAAATGTCATGAAAACAGTTGGACGGTCAATTCAAAACGAAATTGGGCAGCATTAAAAGCCATAATATTGTGCTAAATACGATAACAAAACATTAAATAAGAAACAAATATATTAGATTTGAATTGACCACAACCACTGACTTACAGTTCTGATTTGATACAGGCATTGAGAGAATGTGAAATGGATAAACATGTTTTTGGGCGCACTGGACTGTCTGCCTTACCGCACAACAGAAGCAGGAACTGTAAAATGAAAATAACAATAATATACATTGTGTAAATCTGAAGCGCTTTACAAGGTTTACCTTCATCAGTAACGGGCCAACCCAAACATTTGAAAGCCAGGGATGCATGAATACGTAGAAACGTTATGAGCTACATGACCAAAAAGTCCTAAAAAGAATAGACACAATCACATAAATTCAAATTTGCCTGATGTTACGAAACAGGAAACTAGGTAGGCGAATCTCGCGTTTCTTTCTGTTTCTAAAGCTCATGCAAATACATATAGTATTTTCCAACTAATTTTTGTATTATATTCGCGATGAGCGAAAAGCTAATTCACCAATGTTTAATCATACATTACTAGATGTGTATGTATGTAACATGGCCTAATTTAAATGTTTATCATAGTAATGTAAATTTTAGTATCAATGTAACTGTTGGTCTCAGAACATACATGAATTCTATTTAACTTATTTACATTATAGTGTCAATTTAGATTTACAATATAGTTGTATATTTCAACAGTTTTGTACATATTCTTCAGTTTTGTACATATTCTTAAGTATAAACTCACTCATCCTGAAACATCAAATGAACCTAAGAATTAACTAAATACAACTGACGAGTGCAGCTTATAATGTTCGATTGCGTATTTATCAAACATCAAATTCAACGCAACAAAAAGTAGGTATTACCTCTGAATTACTCTTAAATTTAAAAATAAGAAGATGTGGTATGATTGTCAAGACTCTATATATCTATTACGTTTAAGAACACCGAACATCGTAAGAGCTTCATTTTGGTAAATTCTATTTAGAAGGGATACTTTTACTTTCTAAATGACTGATTGATTGTCCTACACTAAATATTTTTAAAAAAAAAGCGCCTTTTGACATTTAACTGGTTAAACTGGTTAAATTCGAGTAGCACTGGTGTGGTATCATCATAGACTCTTTGTACCTATTTGACATAAGCATATATGTACAAAGTTAGATGTAGACTGAGGTAACATTACATAGTAAGTGCCATCAAATATGCGCATTTGCTCATGATTTTAATTTTGGTGACCACGTGCACAGGTCTTTGGATTAATATTTTATTCTTTTTTTATATTATTTTTTAATTACTGGATTAGCAATGACATGTTCACCTTGTAATTGTTTGAATTTGCAATAAATTATCCTTTTCAATTTCACTTTTTTCTCGTGAAATCATGCTGGTAGGTATTATTACAAGATATCTTTTTTTTTCTTTCAGGCATACACTTTACTTTATCTGCATTTCAGTCATCATTATATATCTGTGCAATGCAAATAACAAAAAAGAATTTCACCACTTTGATTTCGTTTACAGCAACCTTAGTAGTATTATAGCTGAGATTGAGAAAACTGGTACAACATCAACGCAACCGTTGAATAATTTAACTTCATCTTATAGACTACTGAGAAATCCTCGTCAGAAACAATGCCATTCGAATTCATGCATTACTGTTGATATTATATACCTTGTCAAATCTGCTGTGTTAAATTTTAGTCAAAGAAAGGCAATTCGTGAGACATGGGGCAAAGATGGAGATATACGTATAATTACAATATTCATATTAGGATATAGCGAATCCCTAAAATCATTTATAGAGACGGAATCCATAATTCATGGTGATATATTGCAATTTGATATGCAGGATATATATGACAATCTCGTGTATAAGACAGTCTTCTCTATTGCTTGGTTATGTGATTCAAACATCAATACGAAATATGTCCATTTTGTCGACGATGACCGGATGATTAATTCAAAAAATCTTTTAAAACTAGCATTAAACAATTTACACCAGTCTGAAATGAAAATGATAGGATATAAAGCCAACTTTGAAAAACCTTATCGCAAAAAGTCATCAAAGTGGTATATATCTGTTACGGACTATGAATTTGATGTATGGCCACCATACATAATTGGTGGGACAATGATAACAAATTTTCGGGTTATAAAAACACTTAGGGAAGGGATACCATTTTCTAAGGTAATTCGAATCGAAGATGCATACATCGGTATATTGGCGAGATTGCTTAAGATTTCTTTGGAACATAATAAAAACTTCACGCCATTCTTCATATCAGGATATGAATTGATTAACAAAATATCTAGTCCTGATTACCGAAGCTACGATGCAATGATTAGGGAATGGAAAGTTTTTAACTCGGTCAGAAATCACACAATTCACAATAACGGTAACATATTATAAAGCATCAGTCGAAGTGGAACACCATCGGAGTTACATTAGACCCGGAATTTTCAAATGATATGAAAAGCACATAATTCCTTGTAATAATTATTTATCTATGTAATACTGATTTGTTTGGTATTCTATTGTTTCTTCAAGACAGACGGATAACTAAAAAGGACAACTTTTCCTTCCAATTTCTAACTAAAACAGTCAATCTAATCTGAACAGGTCATGTGTTATTTTCATTGGTTAAAAAGTAAAATCACAAAAATACTGAACTCCGAGGAAAATTTAAAAGGAAAGTCCCTAATCAAATGGCAAAATCAAAGTCTCAAACACATCAAACGAATTGATAACAACTGTCATATTCCTGACTTGGTACAGGCATTTTCGTATGTAGAAAATGGTGAATTGAACCTGGTTTTATAGCTAACTAAACCTCTCACTTGTATGACAATCGCATTAAATTCCATTATATTGACAACGATGCGTGAACAAAAGATTCAACAATAAATTATTAATTTTCAGACCTATCCACAGAGGAAAATTCAGTACTGTTCAAACAATGTGCTTGCAGTCAATTAAGATCTGTTCAGTCTTTGTTTAGTGGTTGTTATTTATCTGTAAAAACAACAACATGCTAAATTGTCTGACAAGCTATTAAACAGGACTCGGTCGCTTGAAAGCCAAATTGTTGACTGCTGTGTAAGTGATACCCTACAAAACGATACGTATACTATCGAACGGATCGACCCAGTTGTGTTTAAAGTCCATCAAAAATGCCAGGCTTATTATATAGTACATATGACTCGTCAGTGGTGCTCGACTCTAAACAGTACGAAGGTGACGAACGTAGATACAAGTATCTTGTCTTGGGGAGGGATAAATTATACTTTGTAAAGAATCACTCTGATTCAAACAAAAAATTCTCTGAAACTGACATTATCAAGATGCTTGATTTCTTAATTGACAACATATTTGTTACGTTTGGAGGACGTGTTTTTCAACAGATTGTCGGAATTCCAATGGGAACCAATTGTGCCCCTCTTCTTGCCGACTTGTTTCTTTATTATTATGAGGCTGACTTCATACAGGAACTTCTTAGGAAGAAAGATAAGAAGTTAGCAATATCCTTTAACTCTACGTTCCGCTATATAGATGATGTTCTCTCACTAAATAATACAAAATTTGGTGACTATGTTGAACGAATCTATCCCATCGAACTAGAGATAAAGGATACTACAGATACAGTTAATTCTGCCTCATATCTTGACTTACATCTAGAAATTGACAATGAGGGTCGGTTGAAAACAAAACTTTACGACAAAAGAGATGATTTCAGCTTCCCAATTGTGAACTTTCCATTTCTATGTAGCAACATTCCAGCAGCGCCTGCATACGGAGTATATATCTCCCAATTGATAAGATATTCCCGGGCTTGTGTTTCCTATCATGATTTCCTTGATAGAGGATTGCTGCTCACACGGAAGCTATTAAGCCAAGAGTTCCAAAAGGTGAAGTTGAAATCATCCCTTCGTAAATTTTACGGACGCCATCACGAGTTGGTTGACCGTTATGGAATAACCGTTTCACAGATGATACCGGATATGTTCCTTATGTCGTAACTACAATATCCTTCCCTTTTCACGAATGTGACTTACCGAATAAGACTATTTACCGGATTTGTAATAACATAAGCAACACGACGGGTGCCACATGTGGAGCAGGATCTGCTTACCATTCCGGAGCACCTGAGATCACCCCCAGTTTTTGGTGGGTTTGTGTTGCTTAGACTTTAGTTTTCTTTGTTGTGTCATCTGTACTATTATTTGTCTGTTTGTCTTTTTATTTTTGGCCATGGCGTTGTCAGTTTGTTTTCAATCTATGAGTTTGACTGTCCATCTGGTATCTTTCGTCCCTCTTTCAAATCAATAGCAAAATTAAAGACCATGAAAACCAAACCTTTCACCAAATCTAGATAAGCCTCAGGTAAAATAAACCAAAATAACCTGTTCAGCCAGGGAACAGTACTTGAATTGCATTGTTTTACCCACTCTTATGTGTAACATGTGAGTATTTAGTTAGAGTCGACTCATTTTTCTGTCGGGCCAATTTCAAACAATTTGTTTTTTTCTTTGCTTTTCGTGTCTTGTTTTATAAAAAACAAATGTAACATACGCTATGAAATAGTTGTTTCAGTATGATGGAGTTTCTCATTGACAACGTATTTGTTAAATATAGAGGTAAAATTGTCCCGCAAATTGTCGGCATTCCTATCGGAACCAACTGTACGTCTCTCCTTGTCGACCTTGTCTTATTTTCATACGAATCGGAGTTCTTTCAGACACTTGTAAAAAACTAAATCAAAGAAAATGGATCATTTAATCTCACATACAGGTATATTAATGATGTTCTCTTTATAAACAATCCAAACTTTTCTGATTGGGTACAATTAAAAAATCTTCCTGAACTAGAGAGTAAAGCAACCACAGAAACAGCTTCCTCTGCTTCATTATAGACATGCATATATCTCGAATTTGACAAGTGATCATCTCAGAAGCAGAGTCTATGAAAAACGAGACGATTTCAGTTTTGAAATTATAAATTCTCACCTCAGTAGCAATCAACCAACTTCACTCCCGTATGGAGTGTACATTTTTTATTTTATACGATATTCAAGAGCTTGCAGCTGCTACATGTAATCACACTTTGTAAAACGTCGTCAGTGTCTAAGCAACAAATCAAAACATCGTCGGGGCTGCGATCCAGTCTTTTTTGTAGCTGGTCACAACAACTCCTATAAAACATTTCAAGACAGCCTCAAAACTTGTGTTAAGCAATTATGACCCAAAATCTAAATTTGTGTTTGGACACAATTTCTATTATCTAAAATTATATGACCAAAAAAAAACTAGAGGCTCTCAAGAGCCTGTGTCGCTCACCTGACTCTACTTTGGTTTTAGAAATCATGTAAAGATAGATAAAAATCATAACAGATACCCAAATAATAATGATTGAGGCCAAATTTGAATTAATATTGGTCCTGTTATTTAATAAAATATCCTGGTGGCCATCTTGAACAGTAAATCAGCAACAAAGTAACAACACATGGTCAGCACCTCATAAGGAACATTCATGCCATGTTTGGTTTCATTCCATTCATTGGTACTCTAAAAGAAGACATTTGTATGTATTTCCCATAGGGTCCTATGTTAAACTAAGCCCCCCTCCCCCTAGCGGCCATCTTGGAGGATGGATCAGCTGCAAGGTAACAACACTTAGTCATCACCTCATAAGGAACATTCATGCCATGTTTGGTTCCATTCCATTCAGTGATTTTCTAAAAGAAGACATTTGTATGTATTTCCCATAGGGTCCTATGTTAAACTAAGTCCCCCGCTGTCAGCCATCTTGGATGATGGACATACTGCAAAGTAACAACACTTGGTCAGCACCTCATAAGGAACATTCATGCCATGTTTGGTTCCATTCCATTCAGTGGTTCTCTAAAAGAAGACATTTTGTATGTATTTCCCGTAGGGTCCTATGTTAAACTAAGTCACCCACTGGCTGCCATCTTGGATGATGGATCGGCTGCAAAATAACAACACTTGGTAAGCACCTTATAAGGAACATTCATGCCATGTTTGGTTTCATTCCATTCACTGGTTCTCTAAGAGAAGACATTTGTATGTATTTCCCATAGGGTCCTATGTTAAACTAAGTCCCCCGCTGACCGACTGCAAAGTTACAACACTTGGTCAGCACCTTATAAGGAACATTCATGCCATGTTTTGTTTCATTCCATTCAGTGGTTCTCTAAAAGAAGACATGTGTATGTATTTCCCATAGGGTCCTATGTTAAACTAAGTCACCCACTGGCGGCCATCTTGGATGATGGATCGGCTGCAAAGTAACAACACTTGGTCAGCACCTTATAAGGAACATTCATGCCATGTTTGGTTTCATTCCATTCACTGATTCTCTTAGAGAAGACATTTGTATGTATTTCCCTTAGGGTCCTATGTTAAACTAAGTCCCCCGCTGGCGGCCATCTTGGATGATGGACCGACTGCAAAGTTATAACACTTGGTCAGCACCTTATAAGGAACATTCATGCCATGTTTTGTTTCATTCCATTCAGTGGTTCTCTAAAAGAAGACATTTGTATGTATTTCCTATAGGGTCCTATGTTAAACTAAGTCCCCTGCTGTCGGCCATCTTGGATGATGGACCGACTGCAAGGTTACAACACCTGGTCAGCACCTCATATGGAACATTCATGCCATGTTTGGTTTCATTCCATTCAGTGGTTCTCTAAAAGAAGACATTTGTATGTATTTCCCTTAGGGTCCTATGTTAAACTAAGTCCCCCGCTGGTGGTCATCTTGGATGATGGATCGGCTACAAAGTAACAACACTTGGTCAGCATCTCATAAGGAACATTCATGCCATGTTTGGTTTTATTCCATTCAGTGGTTCTCTAAAAGAAGACATTTGTATGTATTTCCCATAGGGTCCTATGTTAAACTAAGTCCCCCGCTGGGGGCCATCTTGGATGATGGACCGACTGCAAAGTAACAACACTTGGTCAGCATCTCATAAGAAACATTCATGCCATGTTTGGTTTCATTCCATTCAGTGGTTCTCTAAAAGAAGACATTTGTATGTATTTCCCATAGGGTCCTATGTTAAACTAAGTCCCCCGCTGGCGGCCATCTTGGATGATGGATCGGCTACAAAGTAACAACACTTGGTCAGCACCTCATAAGGAACATTCATGCCATGTTTGGTTTCATTCCATTCAGTGGTTCTCTAAAAGAAGACATTTGTATGTATTTCCCATAGGGTCCTATGTTTAACTAAGTTCCCCGCTGGCGGCCATCTTGGATGATGGATCAGCTACAAAGTAACAACACTTGGTCAGCACCTCATAAGAAACATTCATGCCATGTTTGGTTTCATTCCATTAAGTGGTTCTCTAAAAGAAGTCATTTGTATGCATTTCCCTTAGGGTCCTATGTTAAACTAAGTCCCCCGCTGGCGGCCATCTTGGATGATGGATCGGCTACAAAGTAACAACACTTGGTCAGCACCTCATAAGAAACATTCATGCCATGTTT